GGCGGGGATGTCTTTGGGGACACCTCTTTCCTTAGCAACCACGGCGGGGCTGACACAGCCAAAGCCAACAACTTCTTCACCCGGACGCTGCGGCACGTCCGCCGGACGCCACTGAAGAGACGGGGCAGTGGGGGCCAGGCAGGGGCATCGCCTGCCCCCCCGGCCATCTCGCCCATCATCAAGAACGCCATCTCCCTGCCGCAGCTCAACGAGGGGATGTATGACGGTGGCGGTGGACACGGCTTGACCAGCAAGTTCTCCTTCAAAAGTGCATCCAACAGGTTCTCCAAAACACACCAGGCCTACGGTGAGTGAAGCGCAGGGCAGAGGCTGGCACCCAGGTACTGTGCATCCTCTGCAGCCCTTCTCCATTGCTCCATACCTCAGTTTCCTCCCCACTGAGGGACTTCAGGCTCTCAGGAGAGATGGAACATTTAATTAAGTCCTGATAATCCCTGTGAGCAGATAACCCTAACCTTGCTCTGAACCATGGTCCTTGCTCCTGCCCTTGGAGGGTCTCCTCCCAGGGTGTCCCCCAAAGTGGGGCATGGATGGTTTCTCTGTTTCTCCCCCTCTCCCATAGCCCCACACAGCTGGCAGCCTGTGTGGAATAGTTGTAAGGCAGTGCCCTCCATCTAGCCCCAGCCCTACACCTTTACCACAAGCAGCTTCCCTGAGGAAGCTAAGAGGGTGCTGGGACAGTGGAGCAATGCCCACTCCAAGGTTACAAGGTCAAGGAGACTCATGGCACGGCTTCCCCACCTCCACACAGGTGCTCTAGCCGCTTGCTTGGCAGTGCCAACCTCTACATCTCCATGTGCTGCTCCTCACAGGACTCCATCCTCCCTTCTCCAGCCTTCCCACAACCCTCCCTGCCAACCAGGGTCTCCTTTAGGGAAGGGTTGTGGAAAGGATAGGATGGGACAGCTATGTACCTCCTCTCCAGCCTCACAGCACTGGGCTGTGGCTCAGGTTTTCCCCAGGGAGGGAGGTCTGGAGCAGAAGGTCTTGGGTCTGGTGGGGGGGTGATCTGGGGGGCCTGCAGCAGCCAGGGGAAGTGGCCTGGCTCAGAGGGAAAGGCAAGCTGACGCAATGCTGCCATCTCCTGGTCCCACCTGTCTGGCTCAGCCCCCGCTACCATCTTACCAAGCCCAGAGTGCACCTGGATACCCTGCACTGTACTCTGAGCTTTGGAGATGTCCACAGAGACACTGGCCTGTCCTTTAGAGGCCAGTGCCACTGACAGCAGCGTGACCTGCGCCGCCATGGCGGCAGTGTCCCCTGTCCCTGCAGAAGTAAGGCAGGCTTCCTCCCACAAAGCCATCCCCTCCCCTCACCAGCCATCCCTTCTGCTTCACAGGGCTGGAGTCCGGGTTTTGTACCATCCCTCGTGTCCCTCGCTTGGAAAAGCCCCAAGAGAGCACCTTTCCTGGGGAAGATGAGCTCGATCGCTCAGACTCCCTGCTGTCCTTCCGCCTGGACCTGGGGCCCTCCCTGATGACCGAGCTCCTCCAGGTGATGAGCTTCTCTGAAACCAATGGGAATGAGGTGGGGGAGGATGGCCCACACCTCTTGTGTGGTGAGGGGACCAAGGACAGGGTCCCTCCAGCAGTGGGTGCATCCCACGAAGAGGACAAGTCAACATCCAGCTTCTGGGACCACTCTAGGCAGAGCAACCTGTCAGGGGCCAGCTCACTGCCAGGTCTGTCAGTCCATGCCAACGGAGAGGCACATGCCATCGAAGGTGCTGGAGTGGACTCTGTGTGGGCTTCGGGGCCGGGGGCAGTGCCCAGAGGGACCCCGTGGCAGGGGCACTGGAACGACTGCACCATTGAGGCGGGAGAATTTGATCGAGCAGCCCAGGTCCTGGCCCGCCATTACGGTGGGACCAGCACCCCACGGAGCTCAGAGAAGGGCGAGGGTCCCCGGCAGGCCCGGACACAGACCCTGTGGGAGAGCCCCAGCAGCATCTTGTGGCGGTCACAAGTGACAAAGGAGAGCCAGTCCCCCGAGGCCAGCTGGAACCAAGGAGAGGAGGAGGAGGAGACCAAGCTCTCCAGCCAGCAGGAAAGCTACACTGGTGTCCGAGGCGGGCACAGCAGTTCTTTTGAGTATGCCAATGAGGAGGAGGAAGAAGATGATGAAGTCAAGGTGTGAATGGCCACCCCTCTCATCACGGGCCCCACCAGAGACACTGGTGCTGGGGTCTTTGCCCTCCTCCCCATGCCCCACCCTCAGGTGCCAATGTCACCAACAGACACAGCGGGTGACCACCTTGCCAAGCTGGGGACACTGGGTAGGCCGGAGAGGGGCAGGAGGAGAGCCTATCTCATGGGGGGCTCCCTAGGTCTGGGCCAGGCTGCTGCAAAGGGCCAGTGAGCACTGCAGTGCCAGGCATCACGCCCCTTCTCCAGCCTCACTGCCATTAGACACCAAAGAGACATTCCCATGTGCCAAAGAAACCCCAAACTCCTTCCTACCCCATCCCATTCTCCCCAGTACCATCTCTCCCAACCCTCGGCCTGGGCCCACCAGCATGTCTGTGGACATACCCCATCCTCCCACTGAAGCCCCCAACCACCCCCTGCACTGGCATGGGTGCCCTCCCAGAAATATTCCCACCAATAGCTCTGGCACGTAGGGGATGGGGATCTCCCCAGCTCCAGCTAGTGCAAGACCCTTCAGTATAGCACATCTATCTGCTAGAGGAGGTCAGCTGGGGACCCAAGGGGCAGGCAAAGGTTCCTCTTTTCCCCTTTCTTCCAAAAAGCTGTGTGCTCAGTGTTCAGGAGGTGAGAGCATGCACAGAGATAACTTCAGGAGTCTTTCCACTTGCCTCCTGCTGCTGGGCATCACTCAGGATGGCTTCTTTCCTGATTCCAACCCCTCTCAGCAGGGAGGGAAGAAACTTCTTGGCTGGCTGAAAGCAGAGGCAGGTTGTCAGGTCACCAAATTCTGCAGTTCAGATCCTGAAACTCCCTTCCTTTTCCCCTGGCTCAGAACAAGGAGACTCCTCCTCTGAAGCCACTCATGGTGGTGGCAGGCGGTTTGTGTCTCCATCCTTGCCCCTCTGCCCATTCCCCACGCACACACCCCCCAGTACACCCCTTCCCAGGGGTAAGTGTGGACGATGGAATGTCCCTCACCAAGTGGCCCTGGGCGACGCAGCCACCCTGGAATGAGCTGCCCCCCACGCTGCCCCGCGTGCAAACTGGTCCTCACAGAAGAGCCTTTGTGCCATGGTGTGCAGCCAGCAAGCTCAGGGTCTGAGGTCACCAGAGGGACCCTCACAGGACCCCCCTTGTTCTCTGGGACAGGAGGGGGTGTGCAGCGGGGGGAGATGCTGGGCCATGGCTGCAAGACTCTGCTCCCACACAGTTAAGCCATGCCCTGGCTGCTTTTGGCAGGGAGCTCTTCAGAGCAGAATAAAGAGCTCCGGTGTGCACACATATTGCTCATGCAAGTGCCACTCACAGTCAGGCCACCGAGGCTACGGGCAAGCTCATGTTCTTCAGCCTCCCTGAGGGGCTGCCTTGCACCAGGCAGCAGCAGCAAACTGGGGCAGGCACCAGCTTCAAGAAGTCCCCAGCTCTGGCCACTGATACCTAGCAGGATCAGCCTTATCCCCACTTCCAGGGTGGGGACCGAGGCTCTCAGGACGAGCTCCCCTCCACTCTCTGCTTTCCACACTGTAACACAAGCTCCAGACCAAAGACCCACATCCATGGAATTATCCTTTCTGCCTCCACTCTGTATGCCATGCACTTATTATTGTCCTTATTAAAACAGTTTTGATACTAACTTCTCTGGTGCCTCCTCTTGGCTGCCGTGACCTTATTGTCTTCCTTGCTACGTCTGCTGGTGCCCCAGCCACCAAATCCCGTCCTCTTTACCCTCAGCAGGATGTTCCAGCACCTCTGGGATCCCTGGATTAATAAACCTGGTACTTTGTGCCGCTCTCTGGGGCACACATAAAACAACATCCTATCCACCTGGGCCCATGTAGCACACAGGAGGGTGAAAAGCTTCCTGTCCAGCTCTGCAACAATTCATTTGCAGCCTGGAGCAGATCAGTACCATTCCCAAAGCTGGCTCAGGTACACCTGTCCAGCCCATCAGACATCCTCAGCCTGTTCATTCAGGCAGCAGCAAGTCCCTCCAGCTTGGGCAGCAAGGAAGTGGAGAGCAGGGGCAGGGGCAAGGGTACTGCCACCTTCCCAGGCTCTCCACTACATCCTTTTCTACTCTGCTCTCCTCCCCCCCAGCCTACAGTGCCCCGACGTTTTCTGTCACACATCAGTTTCACTTTAGACTGGTGAGGTACTTTTCAATTAGAGCAGAAGCATAAAATAATCAGGACTATTTGCCTGTAGTCCTGTGCGAGGGACACAGACTTGGAGGTGCTGAGCCACATAATTCAGTCCAAACCTCACTGCCTCCCCTGCCTCACTTTCCCTGAGTAGGGTTTGCTGTGGAAATGTCAGAGTAATGGGTAACCTGACTGGAATGTGCCAGCAGATAAGTGAGGTGAGGTAAAGAGGAAAGTGGAGGAGACACTCTCTAATCCATGGCAGGAATGCTGGCTGGGGGCACACCTGTGCTGCCCTCCCCACATCACCTAACTTTTAATTAGGTTGCTCTTTTGTGGTGCAAAATGCCACATCAATCACATCCATGCTTTTCTGCCCATTCTTCTATCCCTCCCTCCCAAAAGTTCAGGTGCAGGAAGAAATGGAGCACTGTGAAGAGATCATACAACCATTTCCCAAGTAATCATATAGTGACCTCCTCCTCCTCCTCCTGAACCCCACCTACAGCCTGCTTTGGTTTATCTACTACCCATTTAACCCCATATCCTCTTCTGACCAGGAAAGCACTTGGCATTATCTGGGAGCTATTTCCATCCAACAAGGACTCTTTTTCTGTTAGTGGGAAAACCTTGGGCTTTGACAATGGCTTACACAGAAGCAGACCCAAAGATCTCAGAGAAGACAAAGCAGATGGAGCAAGCAGTGTTCCACTGGCTTGGTCTTTTATTAGAGCTGGGAAGTGGCACCCATCAGCTCAGCTTGAAGGAGGTGATCTTGAAGCCTCCCATGATGTTCATGTAGTTGATCTTGCGGTAGCTGTGCCGGTTGGGGAAACACACTTCATGCCCATCTGGTAGTTTCACACGGAATTTGTCTGTCAGCATTTCAATGAGGAACTGGGAAAGGGAATTGAGGACAAGGAGGGTATTCAGAGGTCAGCATCTAAGCAAAAGGCCTGACTGAGAGGGTCAAACCTGTTCACTATAACCTTAATCAAGGTGCTGGGGGTTGAGCTGAGGGTGACTCAGGAAATGAGCAGTTGATATCAAGGGTCTAAGCTGGTATACAAACTATGATTTGGGGACAGGATCTCTCCTGAGACTGTTTCACCTACTGAGATTGTAAACTCAGAGCAGCTAAACCCAAGTATGTCTTTACATGTCTTTATGGAATGTATATATACATGTACACATGGAATGTATATGCCACTGTACTGCTTTGAACAGGGCAGATTAAAGCTGACCCCCCAATGCCCTCAGCAGCTCACTGGGACCTGGAAAAGGAACTTTACTGATAAACACGCACAAGCAGACAGGACGAGAATGCATCACTGATCATTGCAAACCAAAGGGAATGTTCTCCAAAGCCGTCATCTCACTACCCCCTCCCCAAGAGCCCATCATGCCTGAGGAAACAAGCTTTCTCTCCACAGCAGTGGAAACTGGACTTCTCCTAAATGCAGCCCTGTCAACAACTTGGGACATCAGATGGGGTGAGACAGCAATTAGGGCAGCATCCCTGGCAGGAGAAGAGAGAGGACAGATTGGCAGCGTGGATCCAGGAGTAATGAGGACAGAAGAGCTGATGGAGAGGTTTTTGGACTTTACTCCAAACTCTGGGTTGCCTTAAAGCCTGTGTTTACACAGGACGGAATTATGGAGAGAAATAAAGTAGAGAGCAGAAAGATCCTGCTCCTTTTACCTTCATACATGCCCCTGGTACAATCACCTGATGGGCAGGTAGGGGGGTCAGGAAGCACTTACAAAGCCTGAGACAGACAGGGCTCACACAAAGTTCCCAGAAGCAGCATTGGAATTTTGAAGGAGTGGAAATGACAATCAGGACCAAAAACCAGAGGATGACAGGCTGTTGTGAGGAAGCATGAAGTATTGGATGGGACTGGAAAAGCTAGGGTATGGGAATCTGCTAACCAGGGGGTTCCCCCCACCACATGCACACCCCCCAACACCCAGCACACACTCCTCACCTTGACAGTGCAGCCCCTGAAGAAAGAGAAGTGGCTGTCACGATGCTCTTTCTGCCACACATCAGAGCACTTGGAGTTACAGACAATGACAGACTCATTGAAGCGGGGATTGAAGTGAAGTGCCAGATCTTTCAAGCTGGAGCCAAGATTGATGCTGAAGCTGTGGATGAACAGGAGGAAGGTCAGTAGCATGCACAGTAGAGGGTCTTGGAAGACTTGAGATCCAACACACATCTCTGCACCCAGTTCCTCCATCAGCGTGGCAGGTGGTGGCATAGGGGTTCCTCTAACACAGATATGCTCACACATTTTGTATCTAGGGACCTTGGAAAACCACCTACCTCTATAGCCCACCTTCAATCCTGGTAAGTCAAGGTGGTTTCTTTGTACATACCCAGAAGTATCAACAGATATTTTGCCTTTGATCTTCAGGGTGTTCCCAGGCTTCATATCGAGGTTTAAGATTTGAAATGGATCCTAAGGCAGAGAAAAATAATCTGTGAGGCTCCTTCAGCCATTCTTCCTCAGTCCCTGTAAGTGAGAAGGTGCCCCAGCCAGGTGAACATCTACTGCTCTCAGCTGGTGCTCCTCTCATGGCCAAAACACCTCCATGCTGGAGGTCTTGCATGAGATTCTTTCACAGTGAGGGAAGAGTGGGCTGAGTGAAGCCCACAAGAGAGAAAATACATCAGAAAGAGAGGAGACGAAAACAGGCTTGTTCTCAGCAGAAGGAAAGGAAAGCATGACAGCAGAGGTACAAAGAGAGTTAAAGCAGAAGGGCATTACACAGGGTTTGGTGGAAAGTCAGTGCTGCCCAAGAAATGAAAGTGGTGAGAGTGGGTGTGACCTGCCGGCCTCTCACTCAGCCTTGCTGAGTTGAGGACCCTGGGTGACAGAGGACAGGAGCAGCAGCCCTTACAGACATCTTCCTCAGAGGGTAGAGTAATCAGGCAGGGAGGCAGTTTAGCCCAGAAATGCTTTCAACAGAGAACCTAACATCCCTAGACTTCCTTGTGGCTTACACATTAACATGCCCCTTGCCTCTGCAAAGCTCCAGTGGCTGCTATTAAGCCAGAAGACTTTGATCCAAAGAAAAAGCTTCCTTATGTACACTTCTCATTAGGGACTTCAGGAGATTTAACCAATTCCCAACCTCTTTGGTGGGCTCCCAGTGGAAGGACTACTATGCACAACCCCTAGAGGTGCTACTTCAGACACCACACAGCGCAAGCATCTTCCCAGCTGGTCATGGAGGTGTGACCACTATGTTCAGTCCTTTTCTGTGTGTAACAGCTCAGCCAAAAGAAGCATCCCAGCTCCTTCCTTTTGTGACAGGGCGCAGCTCCCAAAATCCACACCAGTACACCAAAATGGTCTACACCATCCTTCCCCCCAGTGCTCTGAGGAAGGGCTCAAAGGGGCTTGGAGGAGAGGGCAACCAACGCATGCCCTGTAGATGGTACAAACTATGAACAGTCCTTTGCAGGAGTGACATAGTGGCATCCCAGCTCCTTCCCTTCTTGTGGCTCTAGATTCAGCCTCAGCTGGATGGACTGCAACAGCAACATGTGGGACTCTCTGCAACCTCCTGTCCTAGCCCCATCAAGACCTAAATCTTTTAGCCTGAGAAGTGATGTTCATAACGTCCAACAGCCCCATCCTCCCTAACCCTGAGACATGGGAATGTTGTCCTTACAGAAGAGTATCACCCCTGCTGTCTTCTTCCCAGGTAAAAGCTACGATATAAGTCAATAGACAGTATCACAGATTTGTAAGTCTCCAAAAGTCAAGTGGAAAAAGGAGAAGAAGGAGAAGGTCAAGTCTCAGGAGACCAGCAGTTTCTCAGCCGCCGTCCGCAGCCCTGCAGAGAGCAGCTGAGTGCAGTCATCCTGCTGATGCACAGCCAGCTGGTAGACAGCTTCTGCCCTTCCCAAAAACATCCTGAAGCAAGGAGAAGTGGTGATAAGCACTCCTTCCCCAGAGGTGTTTCCTATGAGCAGGTCATAAAACTCAGCAGGCTTGGGGAATTTGTTTGCTGTTGAGGACACTGAAACCATTGGTGAAATCTCCCTGGGCTGATTGTGGAACCAGCAGAAACAGGTGCTGGTGATGGTGTTTTCTGCCATTGGGTCTCTTTACCATCACGCTCTTGTGTCCACGACACACCTGTACACACCTTCACATCACCCTGCTCCCCTGCAGCCATCCCAGGGAGAACACAGAACTGAAACCTTGTTTCCTCTGTGGTTTGTGCATAGGCACCCACGACTTTTTTCCTGAAACAGATTTTGCATATACTGCAAAGTCATTAACCCTTTCCTTATACTACCCCGTGACTAAATATCAATCAGCAGTCATTGTCTTCAATCGTTGTCTTCGTCCACAGTGGTGATGTGCACATAGCAGACAGAGGGAGAAAAGATGGATGAAGCAGAAGGGATAATGCAAGAAATTGTACATTGAACAACTGCAATTCCAATCATTTATCCACCAAGTAAATCTAATTAACAACATCATTCCAATTCGCACTAACCATGAGCCCCACCCCGTGAGTCTCAGTGATCAGACTACACACATTAAACAAGAGCTGGGGCTCCCAACCTTCAAACCAGTCACTAGGTTTTGGAACAATTCTGCAGTTTGGTCAGCTGTTTCTTTCCTTTTGTCTCGAGCTTCCTCAATGGAAGTAGAAGCATTATAAATTGTAATACAACATTCAGTATTTGTTAAATATAACATTCCACATACACCTCGCTCTTTAAGTAATAACGTCTCTAATGCTGATTTCGTAAAGCTATTTTTGACACTTGTTGGAGTTGCAAGTTAACTCCTCAAAAAAGATACCTTGTCCACTTGCCATATTATGTTTTCTAATGCCCATTGATGTTGTCTGATAACTAGATAAGGTGTAAAAATTATCTTAAATCCCAAAGCTAACCTTTGTCATACCATATAATAATCTGCGTCGTGTATATCAATGATCCATTCTCAGCTGTGTTCAGGAGAACTCAGCTCTCATCATGTCCTTCCCACCAATAAATAATGACAGACATGATTTGGGCAAAAGGATAGGAATACTACCCTGCATGTTAGACCAGCGTGCTGAGTTAGGCTTAACTGCAAGTTAAAACTTTCCATCAGAACATCCTCAAGCTAATCCAAGTGGTGCAGGATAGCTGCTCATCCTACAAGTCCAGGTGTTGTTACAGTCCATCACGCACATTTGGGGAGGTGACAGGATCAGAATGTTCTTTTATAGGTAGTAGCTGCAAGGGATTCCAGAATACTGAACCCGTTGGATGTGGGCCCAATGCGTCTTGAAATCAGCCACAGAATTACACAGCAGGCCTTGATTTTTAAATCCCATAGAGGAGTATCCCCAGCAGGTACACATGCCACATATTAAAACACATATCGAAAAATCTATAGGTAATACTCCTGCCCTGCTGGGTATTTCTACACACCACAAAAAATAACTTTTAAATATATGGGGCTTCATAATAATCCAGTTGTTTTAGCAGATGAAAAATGGGATCAAAAGGGAAATATTGACAAGGAATCCTATTAGTTGGGGATTTGGGACATCCCTGGTAACAGTGGACTTCCCCTGATCATCCCTGGTACGTCAATCTCTTCAGAGTTTAGTGAGGAGACAGCTTCTGGATGTGATGCATTACACATATTCCAACCCTGAAGCCCCTCTTTGTTATTGTAGTATGCAAAATATGTATCACTAAGTCTCACTTGGTGTGGGAACCAGGGGCATTCAAAAACTGTAGATATTCCCTCAATTAATAGGTAATGGGCCCTCCATTTCAAAGGTAATTTACTCTCTAACCACCAAGGCGTAGGTACCAGAATATAAGATCATTTCCATAGTGGGGGTTCACTTAAATTGACTGGTAGATCGTGAGTGTTACAAAAAATCTTGGGCCCTACTTTGCTGATGTAGGGAAAGCTACACTTATTCCTTGGTCTGTTCGATTCCAAAGATGCACAAATCCCAAAACTCCCATGTGAGGTTGATAGAATTAGCACTTCTGTCCCCTGGGGTTGATTTCCCCATTTCAACAGCGGACATATAAAATCATATACATAACAGCACAAACATGCTAGCATAATAACTATTCCTACTAATAGAAAACCAAAACATATTATGGCATAAACTACAGCAGGAAATCCCTCTTCCTCCTTTCGGCACCTGGCCTTTACCTTCAAAAGACCAAATAAACAACTCGGCTCAGCTTTGAACCGGTTCAAAAGGATGGAATAATCCACTGAGTATTAATTTTATGTTCCTTATTGTGATCATCTGCAGCTATCCAGGCATACTTATTCAGTGGACTTTTTAAAATCAGTAGCATTTTGGTATTGATGATGGGAAAATTGAGTGTCTGGTTAAACTGCACAGTAATTTGTTTTTTATTTAAGGAGTAAGGATTCACTATCTGTAGGATATCCCAGGTATTCCACAGTCTTCATAAGAATACCCATTGGAAAGAGGTCTCCTACAGATTTAGGCAAAAGCAAGCAAGCAGTAATCATTTATTTTCATTAAGTATAAACATATTAAACCAAGGCATATCTTTCCAACACAGGTTATAAATGCCACACTTGTTAACCTTAATTACTTAGTTAAATTTGTAAACAAAACTTACAGATACACACACCAATTAAAACCCCCAAAATATAGTACACATAAAAGCAAGCAATCCCTGTGGAAACTTGGAGTTGGTATAAGAGAATCTTCAGTCTGATTTCTAACATGCAGGATACCTACAACCTGGAAAAACCATAGAACAGAATTGCTTGGTCTCTGTCTAACCAGTGCACAGTGGGTTAAAAGGAGGGCACTATCCATCTGATACTAATTTGATGGACTTTTCAAGAAGTATCTTTTACTTCTCAAAGGTAACACAGAAAGCTTTAATTTTGTGACCAACTCGTAGGGGGTATCTAATCAATTAGTGGTTTAGCTTTTGGCTTTGGTGTGGTGGTATAAATTTGACATACTCACTAGGGGGTTTCAGCTGTCTTCCCAGAGGTCACTCCAACCCATCCTATATGGCACTCATAATTCATTATTTCCTGGACGAATTCATACCGAGTAGGTATGTGAATTTGGTCTCTAGGTGGTTTTGCTGCTGCAGCAGCAACTTTCATGATCTTGGGCATCAGATACAAATATTTTCAGGCTATCTGGAAGGAGAGGAGTTAATCTGGCCAGATCAATGGGAGCCACTATAGGGGATCGCCTTAACTGACATGTTTCATACATTGTTTGAATACATGCTGCCTTTTGCACAGAGGCTGCCAGATCTGAGAATCCTGTAGTCTTAACAGTAGTAGGCTTTCCTCTGTCCTGTGGGTCTATGCCTCCAGCCCAATAAGCAGGTTTGGCAGTTAATGAGTAGTTATGGTTACCTGGAGTAGTAGTTAAAAATACTTCTGCCTCTTCTTCACTCAGCAAGATTTGGTCTCTGCCTGTAAGGGAAACTCACTACACATACACATACTCACTACACATACTCATACAAATACTTCTGATTTCCCTGGACACTTGGAATATTTTTCCTGCAATTTACCTAACTCTGTGGGGGACCAGGGAACAGTATGAACAGTAGTGTGGGCTTCTCCCTTCCCCTCACCATCAGTTTCAGTTTTAATTAAAGGCCAAACTTTCACCAGTACTGGGATAGGGTCAAGGTCTTCCTCTAAATCATCAGCATTGTACCAAATGTCCTCATCTCATGTTTTGGGATCCTCACAGCATGCCACCCTATGGATGTGCTGGACTGAATTAGAAGACAATTTGTGTGGGATTTTATCAAGTAATTTACCTAGATTTTCCTGCAGCTGTTTGTCTCATCATTCAGCCACAGACAGTAGTTTTTCTAATTGTTCATTTTTATTTAGAAAAATGTCTACTAGTTTTTCCAATTTCTCCCATGTCTCTTTCTCAAAAGACAATGATGTTTTAAGAACCTAATTTTCTGACTTCAAAGTCATATATTCTACATCTACAACTCTTTCAGGTGGTGGGGATTTGATTTCATTTTGCATGCAGGATAAACAAGCTACCAAAACTGCACAAATAACTTACCTTTAATGAGTAACTTACCTTTTCCTCTTCCTATTTTTCATTCAGCAGGCAAACTAGTAATGTGATCAGCTGTTGCCTGTACATTATCTCAATTAGTTTGTGCCCATTCCGACCCCAGGGGAGAGGGGTGACTATCAAACTTCTCCAGGAGAGAGAGTAAAACATTAGGCTTACACTGGTCACCCTGGGTAACCATTCTTCTTCAGTCTCCCTCAGAGGCAGACAATCTGTGCCTGTCAGGCAGCAGAAAGCAATCTCCCTCAGAGGGAGACAATTTGTAACAGTAAAAGTTTGGTCAATCTCCTTCAGAGAGAGACAGTGCCCACCAGGGAGGAAGAAGAACAGTAAAAGTCTGGAACTGTTAAACAGCACTTTGGGTCAGAGAACAGTATATCCTGTCTGTGATGCCAATTAAAATCTTACGATTTGATGTTAAAGTCCTCTGCCCAAATTAAGGTGCAAATGAGCCCAAATGCCGGTTCAACAATGCCAACTTTATTTTACAAAATTAATTGTACAGGGAAAAGAGAGAGAAAGAGAGAGAGGGAGAAGGGGAGAGATAGTCTAAGTAGAAGATAGTCACCGCCATGGATCCAGCAGCACCCCGTTGGTCCTTCAGTGCCCTGGGCTTCTTGGTAGTGGGGTCCGAACCGGTTCACTCCGAGTCATTTTTATGCAGTCCCTTATATTGCTGAAAAGCGAAGGTACAAGTGACTTTCAGTTCCTCATTCACATGAGAGATGAGAGCAGGCATGGTTTCAGTGCTTGTCCGGGATCTATTCTGGGGGTTGTGCAAGAAAAGTACCCCAAAAATCAAGTGTCCTACCGGTGACCCCACTTACTGCACTTGTGCAATTATTCACTTGTTACGTCACATACCACAGTGAAACTTTGACATGAAAAGCAGGGCCAGAACCAAAATCTTGTTTCCTTTGTGATTTGTGCGTAGGCACCTATGCCTTTTTTTCTGCACCAAGTTTCACCACCATGCCTGTTTAAGGCACATACTGCAAATGTCATTATCCCTTTCCTTACAGCTGCCCAGGAGGGAGAGCAGTGTGTGTCTTTTACTTTGTCCAATTCTGGGCTCCTCAGTACAAGAGAGTCATGGAGCTTCTGGAGTGGATCCAGTGGAGGGCTACTAAGAAGACTAGGGAAGTGGAGCATCTCTCTTACAAGGAAAGGCTGAGGGGACAAGGCCTGTTCATCCTTGAGAAGAGATGACTGACAGGGGACCTCATCAATGTGTATAAATATCTAAAGGGGCGTGCCAAGAGGATGGAGACAGGTTCTTCTTGGTGGTGCCAATCAATAGGACAAGAGACAACAGGTAAAAACAGGAAGCTCCACCTGAATGTGAGGAAGAACTTCTTTGCTGTGCGGGTGACCAGGCCCTGGAACAAGTTGCCCAGAGAGGTTGTGGACTCTCCCTCACTGGGGATATTCAAGAACCATCTAGACATGATCCTGTGCCATGTGCACTAGGATGGTCCTGCCTGAGAACGGAGGTTGGACCAGATGATCCCCTGTGGTACCTTCCAACCTGACACATTCTATTGTTTTGTCTGAGGGATGAGGAAAACTACCCACGCAGAGAGTTATGCGCAGAGCCACGAGTACCACAGATGTGAGAATACGCCAAAAGGGAGACGAGCAGGAAAGAGGCTCAGAGAAGGGCCATGAGATTTTATCAAGATTACATTAACCCCCTTCTTACAATGCTCAGCAGGGGCGTTCACCCCCCTTTTATTTGCCACTGGGAACAATAGTGGGAAACCAGGCAGCAGATCTGCCAGTGCTGGCAGCTTCCTTCATCTGCTGAGTTAAGCCTCCACATTGTCAGACACCAGCCCTGTGCTGATTGCCTCTCTCATGCAGGGGTATGTGCTCCCCACATAGGAAGGGGATGAGACTTTAGGGACCCTAGAAGAGCCAAAATTCTCCATTGCAGTTGGAGGTGGCAATTGGGATGATGAAAGGAGGGTGGCGGGGGCAGGTTGATACTTCCCTGCTGATACTGCAAAGCAGAAAGCCTGCGGAAACAATGATAGCACGGGAATGTAAATCCCAAAGAAAGAGGAAATCCGGCTAAAGAGCATCTGCAAAAGAGGTGGAGGGTCTGTGCAGTAAGGAAAACATAAACAATAGCTGTGGAAGCTGGCAGCCACTGGTGCAAAGGATCCAGGAACCCTTCGCCCCTCAGAGATGATCCTATACCAAACTGGGAGTGCCCCTCCAGGGCCCCACAGATGTTCAACCTGGCCAGAGGGCATTTGGCCTGTACTAGTGTGGGACACTCATGTTCACACCACTGATGCCAGAGGAGGATTTGCTGCATTTCCAGAGGGATGGCAGAGACCAAACAAGTAGTCACTCAGTGTGAGGGTAGGGGCATATGCAACCAAGGGAAAGATGAGTTTCCAATAGGGAGCAGGTCTGCAATTTTGCATGGAGAAAATAAAGAAAACCCAAAACCATATTTTAAGGAGGGAAGAGATTAATTGCAATCATCTTGGCTTTCAACCAGAAGGGTGGCAGAGCAGGTCCTCTGCAGAGTATTTTCACCACATAAAATGCAGCAGCTCTATCTGCAGAGGTCCCATACAATAGATTTCAGTGTCAACAGTCCTTCCCGGCCTTCCTGCTAGGTCCTAAGGAGATCTCAGGCCACCAGGAGCATTCATAGGATCTCAGGATCCTTGGGATCCTCCAGACAGCAGTACCTCATGTACCATAGCCTAGAGCTGCCACTTCTACCACAGGGCACCCACACAGGTGTTGAGAACAGACTGAATGCCACCCTCCCCAGCAGGCTGCCAAGATCCTCAGCAGCATCATTGCTGGCAGCAGTATTTATTTTCGTTTCTCACTCGGGCAGGAGATAAGCCAGCTAGGTATGAAGCCCTGAGGAAAACCACGGGTTTCCCCACTTCCCAGCCAAAGTAGCCAAACTGCCTGTCAGAGATTTCTCAGGGCCTTTTGTGGCAGGAGCAGCCTCCAAAATCCACACCAGCACACCAAAATTGTCCCTACCATCTCTTCCAATGGTGTTCTGAGGAAGGGCTGCAAGGGGCTCAGAGGGGAAGGCAGCCAACACATTCTCTCTAGACAGCATGAGCTATGAACAGTCCCCTGCAGGACTGACATGGGTCATCACCAGATGTGAAGTTCAGTCCAGAAGGAATGAGGAAGAGAGGGAAAGGCAAGGCAGCCACGCCAGGTGCATGGATGTCCATGCCACTTACCCCACATCAAACCAAGCTCTGCAAAAAGAGGAAAGAGATCGCCCTAATACCCCCATGGAAGGCTGTGATTTCAGCTCAGTGCTAATTTGAAACCAAAGAAGCAGCACTGGAGGACAACAACATTGCAGAGGGGATAAGGTGCCTGTCCCATATTGCACTCAAGGCACCAGGGAGCCTGTGCCTTGGACCAGGCATCAGCATCTGCTCAAGGCAAAGGGAACTGGAGAGACCAACCATGCATTCTTTCTTGGGGTAGCAGCTGCTCACACTGCTATTATTTCCTACAGCTTCATATAATTTGTACTCCACAGCAAGCTATTGTCCCTTTCCACTGGCTATTTATTTCCTTGAATAGCCTCTGGGGAAAGATTTCAGTGCGGGAGTAAAGAAAAAAGAAAGACTGCACACAATAAATATCAAGTAGTGACCTGATTTCAACTGTATTCTCTGACCTCATCTGGACTCTGGTTGTGGTTCCCCCCAATAGTTGTGATTAAGCCCTGTTTCTGCCTTGGTGTCCCTCATTCACGAGGCCTAGAGGGTGAATGTCCCCTACCTTAGAGGACTGTGGGGTGGATTTTCAGCAACCAGGGCTCAGGACATGACTGAGAAGCTTCCACCACCTCCTGATGGAGATGCTCAGTCCTCCAGCTTCCAGTCACAGAAATTCCCAGATAGGTTTGACAGAACTGATTTCCCCTTTAGTCAAGAGGTGTTGGTTGGCCTCTCAGCAGACAGTGCTGCAACCTTCAGCCAACCGATCCCTAAGCTCTGAAAGCCAGCCAGCTTCCTAACGGAGGAAGACCAAGAGAACAAAGTGTACTTACTGGAGCCAAACTGAGGGAAGCAAGAGACTGGGTAAGCAGGTCTGTGGATCTGAAGGGTGTGTACAGGAGAGGACTGTCCAGGAGATGTAGGAGAAGCCAAAGCAATGATGAGCACAAGGAAACTAGTGCCCATGAGCACTAAGCTCCTGCCTAAGAGGTTGACCAGAGAGGGGGTGCTCCTTTAGGGAAAGCACTGAAGCCTCTGCATTCAGATCAAGTAAAATGGGAAGGAACAAAGGACTGGAAGAGAATCTTCTGTCACCCTTCCTGCCCCAGCTACCTGACAGTGGGAAGTATGGAAGTAGCATCCATGCTCTAAACCTGGGGGCAAGAGATTAGAGGCCATCAGCATCCAGTAGGCTCTCCACAAACATCATCCCCTTCAGCTGTAGGGGGCAATTTCTCTTCCTTAGGATGTGGGGAATAAGGAGGAGGAAGGAAAAAGCTAGCTAAAGAACTAAAATGTGGAAAAAACCCACACCTTTCTTCAGGGCTAGGGGCAGCAGCAAAAGAGGGAACCTGCACCAAGAAAGCAGATCAAGAGCACAGGGAACAGACTCCATCAGACTCCATCTCTCTCCTCACCCTATCAGAAAGGTGGTGGTGCAAGAGTGACTGGCATCTCCCATCTCCATGGGGAGTTCAAATGTGCTCTGCTGGATGGTTTCCATCCCCATAGCCAAGTTATGTCCTTATACCTTTGCAGGGAATCTCTCTCTCAGGCAGCTCTGAAGTCTGTGGCAACATTTTTGTGTGGTATGAGTTGTGCATGAGGAAGGGGAGAAAGGTAGTTCATATGCAAGGAAGCTGGTTCATAAGGCACCAGGGCCATGTCATCAACCCAAGCAGCCAGATGAGTCATGTCTTCTGAGTCCCCAGCTTGCCTGAGGGGCAGGAGAATGAACAGAACTGGCACAGGGTGGGGAAGGGAGGTCAGAGGACTGATTACATGCCACCCAGTTCCATTTCTAGACTTCATTTCTCTAATTCTTTCACTCATGGGTGCATGCCAGGAATGTGGGTTGTGGGAAAGGCTTTCAAAAACATGCCTGAAGATAAAAATGCACTTGTGTTGAAAGCTTCCCTACTGGCAAAGAGAAGATGTATAGAAGGCTCACAGCTTCCCCCTCTCTGAGACTTTTGGGATCTCCCAGCTTTAGCCAGATCTTCTGGATGATGTATTATTAGCTTAATGAGAAAAAGATCTTCCAAAGAGCTCTCCACAAAGGATCAGCTTCATGAGGTCTTATGCTCCACTTGCACCTTGCACTCAAAGATTAACATCTCCAACAGTTTTATCTTACCATTGAGTAAGGCAGATAGCAGCTCCCTCATCTTGCACATGATGAAATTGAGGTACAGACACCCACGTTCACATCCAAAGCCAACTCTTCTTTGCAAACCTCTGCAAGAACCTAAAAGGATGCTGTGGTCCCCTAGCTGATACAGCTGGAGTATGAGAGATGCTGATCTCTGGTCACACCATTTACTACCAGCAGGAGGTACTGAGGCATTCAGTGGCTCTGGAAAAAATTAGCCCTTGGGTGGCTCCAATTAAGTCTGAAAACCAGAGGCATTCAAAGAACAGAAGCCTTCCAACAATGGAAGCCGAGGGACTTCCGAGATGCTCCAAGCCCAACTTTGCTGACTGCAAGGGGACCATTTCCCACAACAGAGACAGCATGAGACCAGTTGGCTGGAACTAGAATAAGCAAAATATTGCACCATACACAAACGGTCCATGGGGACCTCCCTGCTCTGAGCTCCAAGCAGCCATCCCAGATTCAACCCCACAGGACAGCAAAGGCATGAAGTGAGAGTGACTGCCGAGCCCCTGCGCACAGCACTCCATCCCACACAGGGAGAACAAGGCTGCTGGCACTGCATGACTCGCTTTGAGTGTGTTTCTCACGGGTTCCAGTGCTGAGCTCAGGCAGGTTGGACAACTATGAGAACTTACAGGAATCTTTCAGACAAGCAGAATCCATCTGAGTCACACGCATGAGGCACAATGCCAAGGGTGGCTCTTCCACTGGAAAAAAAAGAGAGAGAGAGAGAAAGAAATGCTAAGGGATAAATAGCAAGTTTTGAAAAGCCACAAGAATTAACAGCTCATGGGCTGGAAAGAATGGGAGGGAAAACAAAAAGAAAAAGTCTGTTCTCCCATGCTCACGTCACTAAAGCCAAGTATCCCTCATCCCCACTGGGAAGCAGCAAGCCACCTTACCACACATCAGCTTTGAGAGGGTCTGAACAGGCAACCTACCCTGGATCTAAGGGCATGGCTGAGGTCTGCAGAAGAAGAGGTTGTCAGGTCAAAACTATCTGTTTCTCCAAAATCAGCTTGAACAAACTCCCTTTGATGGCCCTGCAAAATGAAATAGTAAAAACCAAACCAGATGAAAATGGGAAAGAAAAGCTGCCAAAAAAAAGGGAATCCAAATCCCCAAATGACTGACTCAGTGCAGGAAATGGGCATCTAAAGAGGGAACTGCAGGCATCTAAAGGAGACCTAAGAAAAGATCAGGCCCACACGAAGGACTCTGTAGGACTCTGTATTCCTTTCCTCACACTTTCCAGAGAGAAGGGCACCAGAAATATTTGAACACATGGACCTTCAGAGCAACATACAGGGAAGAGAACTGAGCCTGACCTGCTGCAGGATCTCCAAGCACAACCAATGTCCAGAGGAGGTTCCAGCTCCCACCAGTGCAGGGAATGTTAAATTACTTTTTCCCTGCTTCCCAGTGAGAAGTTACATCCATAGTCTTGCTTAGAGTTGCCACCAGGTGAAGGAGCTTTCAAAGCCAGCATCAGAGCCCAGAGATCTTTCATCTCCTCAAGGTACCACAAGGAGCAGGGCAGCAGCTGCTTGCAGCTGCTTTGCACTCTTGGGACACCTGGTCTCCCTTTCCAGCACTATACTGGGCACTAAGGGACACCCCATCCTATACAGGCATCCTGTCCCTTCTCTGGACTACGCCCATGAACCTCTACCCCTTTTCTGACCCATGTAGCCAGTAGTACATAAGCCCTCACTTGACCACAGTGAATATTTATTCCCAACAGTCATGCCAGACTGTTTGGTCTCTCTGGTTCTCTTTCCATTCCTTCCAGTGTGTGGCTTTTTCTGCCGTCCTTTTATTCCTCACCACTGGCCAGAACCTGCCTGTTCCTCTAGCTGCCCCCAGGTTTCCTTGTGCCACTCTCCTCCCCTCCCCAAAAGCCCCCAACAGCAGAGCAAACACCAGGCTTTAATTGCAGCCAGATTCCTGGATGGAGAATGGTTGCTCCAGAGAGGGGAAAAGAGTATTAGAAACTAAATGCTTTGAATGCAATTCACCCCAGACTAATCTTATCATATCCCAGGCTGAATAGCCTGAAACACATTGCCAACAGACTTGCCAAGCCAGGGGATCTGATAAAGGACAATGTGAGGATGACAGGCAACTGCCAGGCAAGTTCCCATCTGCAGGCAGATAGCTTATCTCTTCTGTCAAGATGGGACACACATCCACATCTGCTGCACAACAGCGGGAAAAGGCTAGTGGAGACCTGCTTTCTGCTCCTGAACACGCACGTAGCACTCCTTACAAGACCATCCCTGAGGAACATCTCTATTACTCACTCAGCCTCATTAGGAAAGGGGTGGAAATCTTTCCTGAACAGCTTTGTCAGAGACACAGCTCCCCAGAGGCCTGGCTCAGGATGAGCTGAAGAGTGCCTCGGCACTAGCTCTGGACACCAGCAAGTGGCTGCTTGGCTGCAGGAGCAGCACAGCAGCAAGACAGCAGAGGGAAGAAGTCTAATAGCCCACTCTGGAATCACACTGTGACACCACTTTTAACCCCCATCAACTCCCAGTACACATCCTCTTCCGGAAATTCAGCCAGAGTGCCGCTGCAGGGAAGCAAGCTACTCAAGATGTAAAGCTACTCTGATCGAGAAGGGACATGGAAAGAGAAGCAGCCTCTGCTGGGAACATCTCCTCCTTCTGCATAGAGGAGAGGGCTTGGGCTGCAAATCAGGGACAGCAAAGATGCAACATGGTTGCGCCACGACCCATATGCAAACAGTGCCTTCGAAATGCCGCTGAGCTGAAGGGAACAGTGTGTTGTTTGAACACAGCCCCTCCAGGTAAATACAAAGCAGAGGCTGGTCAAACACCCCCAGAGGTGTTCACCTGATCCTTCTCCTGGCTGGGGGACATGTCTGTCGGCAACACATTAAATGGGGGATACACGAGCTCTGCCCCCCATTCTGCTCCCTGAGTTCCCAAACCTGATGTAGTTTGGGGTGGCAGGGGAACTAGGGCAGAGGTGTGCATGCACGGGAAGCTCTTGCAGAATCGCATGCTCCATAGGCTCCTTGTCCTGCCTGCTCAAGGCAGGAGAGCCAGAGGGGCAAATTCAACATGTCTGTGTGTCCAGGCCTCTCTAATCCTCTGCATCCAGGAGCTGGTCCCCACACCCACATGATCTCATGTAACTGGGCAGTGTTTTCTCATAGCATCTCTCCCACCCCTCATGGCAGTAGGTCAAATCCATAGCATGGGTTGTAGGACACTGAGTCACAACCCAGTGTTCAGCTGTAACCAGCAGACAGAGCATTAGCATTTCCCAGTTTCAGTCTGGCGCACACACTCCCATCCCACACACTCACCCACAACCTGTTGCATGACATTTCCCATCTTTGAAGAGTGAAACATTGGAAAATTAGGGGGGTAAATACACAGGCTGCAAGCAACTGTACTTCAAAAGCCTGCCTTCTGAGAGACCTGGGCTTACAGGGTTTAGCTGTTTCACTCTTGGCCCCAAAAGCAAGGAGCAGAACGCAGCTCCCATTCATGGGGTTAAATGCATGGTGACAACAAGACTCTGGTGGGAACAGTCCCCAGTCCACCCTGTCCCCCAGCTGTGCCTGGGTGCTGTGGCACTGCTAGCTAGCACTGCCCAAAACCAAGGCAGGGAGGTTGCTAACAACTGCACAGCATGAGCCAACATCCTGAGGCAGTGCTCAGGCCCAGCCATGGTCCTATAGTGCTTACTAGGACAGACGAAACCAGAGGGACTAAAAAGGAGCCTGTGAAAAGTCAGGTCCTTGGGAAATCTGCATATACAGACTCTGCGTCTCCCTCCTCCTCCTCTTGGATCACAGTTTTCTTTTCATTCCTAGCTCCATGTCCACCATGCCCCAGCACTGGGATCGCTCTGCCCTGCTGATCCCCACCATCACCAAAAGCTAAGGGCAGAAGCTGGCTGCAGTGCCAAGTGGCAGAGGCTGAGCAGCCTGGATGGAGGGAGAGCGCCACCGGACTGCCTCCTCTTGCTGTTTCACAGTCCTGACTTAAGCCAGCACTGAAGTTTCCTAGGGAACTTGAGGCAGCTGCAGCCAAAACAGGATTGTTGGCAGTGAGGGATTTTCAAGCCCAGGCCAAAACCCGTCTATTCAAACTCACCAGCTGCCACACTTGAGCCAGCTGCACAGCTCAGTACACGTGCATTCGGCACTGGGGCACCCTGCAGCAGGAATACCTCCTCCCTGTGCCACGTTGTGAAAGAGAGGCTGCACACGGCTGCGCCTCTGAGCTCCCCGGGCAGCTGCTACACTAAATATCCCCAACAAACACTAAGTCAGACTTTGCTGCCACCGCAATGCAGGGATGTATTCATCATCCAGGCCGGGGGATTTGCCACAGCTGGGCTCCCCGATTTGCTTCAGGATGCCTAGTTTCCTGTTGCCAATCTCTGCTCAGATCATGCTTGGATGCCCCTGAGAAATGCCTTTGCAGTAGGGTTTTTCTCCTTCTCCCTCCTGCTGTTCTTTAGAGCCAAACTATATCTTAGCAAAATTCATGCTCTTAGACTACCTTTTCCCCCAATACTTGTGCTTTCTCATGATGCCCCTTCCATCTGTTAGCAACAGCACAGTAAGTGAGGGCTAGAGCAAGAATGGGTGAATCTGTTCACGTTTTCTAATGCCTCTGTTGACTCCTGAGTCCTGAGTACACAGTATCGGTAGCGGATCTGTTCCAGTCTGGAGCTGATCTCATCAGCAGTGCTGTGAATAACTCCACCGAGGCTCCCCCTTGCGGGCTCAGGGCCTGCAGTGCTCACTTCAGCCCCATAAATTTAAGCAGCTGTCTCTAACCTGGCAGGTCTTCCTCTCCCTGTTCAGGTTTTGGCTCACCAGCTACATAACCTATCAGCCCCCAAGACATGGCTATGACTAGGGCTTCCATTCTGTCGGTTTTATTTCATCACTGCCTGCTGCCGATAATGTTCCTCGGCAGCAAGAGCATTCCCACGTTCTCAGAGCATCCCCTGAATGTCCTGGACTCTCTCGGGAAGAAGCTTTCAGCAACAGCAAACCCATCTGAGCCTTCCCCAGGGTGTAAGGAGGCAATTTCACTCCCCATACTGTCCAGAAGGGCACTGCTGCCAGCTCGTTCCAGGGATTGAGACACCCCTCGAGCTGCCCAGTTTGGAAGGAGAACTCAAACACCAGGAAGCAGCAAGCTGCACAGCTCACCTCTAACTCTGGTATTTGCTTCTCTCACTTGTCTTGCTGAGCCAGTTGCACTAATGACAGAATCAACATGGAAAGGAAATTTGGTTTACCAAGGTCAAGGCAATTCCCCGAAGGAAGCAAATGCAATTACCCCCACGCTAACGACCAGGGAAACTGAGGCAGTGAGCATAGCTGAGCATTTCCCTGAGTCTTGCTCCAAGACATGCCTAATTGCAGAGATCTAGCCAGCAGGTTTTCTGATCCCTTATCCAGCATTCTCTTTCCTCATTCTGCTCCTGTAGTTGTAGAAGGATGCCTTTGATCACACGGGACAAGCCTTCCTACAGCTGAAAGGGAAACTGCTGAAAGAAATGGAAGGGAACAATCCTGGTTGATGACTGCATACCACAAGAAAGTGCTGCAAATGAAGGAAAGGAGACATTTCCTATTAGATTAAAGGAGCTCAAACCTGCTCTCCCTCTAGAGAAGTATGCAACTCTATACTTGTCTCTCTAATTGCAACCCTCCACTGGGAAAGATGCTTGAAAGTATTGCAAAAGTATGGAGATTAGCCAAGGTCAAGAAATGGCAGGGCTGTAAATCCAGAGGATTGCATAAAGAGGTGCATGGTCCGAGACGATGTCAGAAGAGGTGCTGCCAGACTGTTCCAAGAGAGAGTAGCAGAGTTAAAACTGAGCCAAACCCCCAGGAACTGGCTGCTGCAGTCAGCCAGAGCCGGAAAACAAGAAAAGGGAACAAAAGATGACGGTACCAAGCTTCAGGAAAGTGAAAGGTCTCTGGCAGAACGCCTTGCCAAAGAAAGAAGAATGTGACGGGGGAAAGGGAAGCTCACGTCACAGGTCAGAGCCAACAATCCAGCAGGAAACACACAAAAGCTCTCGCTGCCCCACACAAGCGCATCTGAAAAACATCGCAGGGTTTACATAAACACACACGGCAGAGAAACCAAACAAACCCTGGAACAGAGCAGGGGGTGCCAGCGTGGTTTTGGCTGGCTGAAGACGAGCTGATGGATGGAAAACCCCTCTCCCAGGCGACCCGGCCACTCCTGCGAGGCCACCTTCCCTTCCCGAAGGAACTGGGACTTGGTTTGCTCGGCGATTCACCTCGAGTGCACGGGCAGCAAGAGCGTTTGCTGAGCCCGGCTACTTAGGCAGGCACTCCCCTGCCTTCTGGTGCCCTCTGCGGGCAGCTGCTGCAAGGCCTGCCCAACCTGGGACCTGCATCCCTCTGCTGAACCTGGGACCTATATCCCTGTGCCAAACCCGGGACCCGCACCCCTCTGTCCCCGTGAGCTGTACTCATCCAGGCCTCTGGCTTGGAGTCATCACTTTCCTCCGCATCTGGCTACAAGCTAATTATAGTTCCAGTACTTTCCCTCTGGAGTGGTGTTAATTACCACATGGAGCACCTCACGCCGTCCAGACCTAGTTGGAAATTCCAGCTGTCGGTAAAAATAAATCGAGGGAAGTGAGAAAGCTTCTTCCTCACAACATCTAACCACTGTTACAGGGAGCAAAATTCAGACTCCGATCTCTCTTTCTTCTTCAGTTGCACTTAGGGTCCTTGTTATATGAAAAGCAGATGTAACCAAAGGGGAAAGAGACTCCTAAATCTATGAGAAATAAAGGTAAGGTCGCTGCTGACAGGGCTGTTACGCACGAGTTCACTCGCCATTGTTTGCAACCAGCTGAAAAGTGGGTGCAGCCTTCCATTCATCCTGGACTTGGCTAACTACTGGGTGTTGCCAAAGGGAAGAAAACAAACAAGCTTGAGACTCAGACAGACCGAAACCTGAGCGAAGGGGCTGTGTAAAACACCAGCCTGCTAAACTCCTCCTTCAGAGGCATCGCTGTGGGGGGTGGAGAAGAGACATGCATGCCTTCTATGCAGATGGTACATGACCTGCAGGGCTCCTAAAGATGACTTCAGGATTCTCAGAAAAATCAAAGAGGTAGTACTGACAGGCAAGGTTGACTCATAAGATTAAAATAACCCGTGTTAAACGTGCCTGAACAGAGCAGAGGGAAGGATGTTGCAATTTTCTATGAAAGGTGCTTAAAAAGCGCTTTGTGATGCAAGGCAGTAACAGTTTAAAAAAGAACTACATTCAAGCGCCAAAAAAAGTACTTTTTAATGGCCAAAAAATCCCCACCGAAACAATGGCTATCCATAAGGAAAAGCCATTAGGTGTGACAACAGGGCAGTTCCCTCGTCAACCATGGGATTAGCACTGTAAATGAGTAACCCAGCACGGGACGGCTCCGGCTCAGACGCCTGTCTGCAGGATCAGAGGCTGGAACGCCGAACAGGCTGCATTGTATAGGCTGCATTGTGCTCTTATCGCCGACGTTCCCTGGCAGCCCCAGCCCCAAACACCACCGCCAACACCACAACAGGGCACTCCTCACACAGGGGGAGGCTGAGGCTCCCCAAAGCTCGCCGAGCTCGTCCCTTCCACCGGCGCTGTTTGAAGTGCAGGAAAGTAAACAACGAAGGCAACGAGTCGGGGAGAAGACGCGCTGCTCCTGCCAGGGCCACTGGAGCACAGAGCAAACAGGCGGTGTCAAGTGTCACAGCTGGCGCTGGCCTAGATTGCCAGAGCCACGAGGAAAACGAGGGCAAACGGAGTTTGTTCTCCTAGAACCCTCCAGCTCTCTCCAGGGCTCCACCGACATCCCCTCACACGCACGCTGCTCAGCGAGGCAGAAGGTCAGGAGATCACCTGCTACTTAAAGATCACGGCAGGGGAGCTCGCTTACTAGTATTTATTTTACATTTATTACGGGCCGGCACCTGGTCCCCCTCCATCTCCGGGGCGGGGGCGCACTGCGCATGCGCCGCATCCGGCGAGCCCATGTCCTTTGAAAGGACGCCGCGCGCCGCCGGCCGGAAGTGCCCGGTCTTCTTGCCGGAAGTGACTTCACCTGCCAGTATGCGGGTTGTTCCGGGGAGGGTCGGCCCAGTGGTTTCCGCGCAGCGGCCGCTTTCCGACGCCCTGCCCCGCCCCGCCCCGCGCTCGCCTGCCCTCCGTGCCCTTCTCCAGGAGGCCCTTCCGCTTCCTTTCCCGTCCCGCGCCTTTCCTTCCCCTGCGCGGGTGAGCTCCATGGTGGAGCGGGGGCGCGCACCGGCAGGGGGCGCGCTGGCGGCGGGGAGACGCTCTGGGCCGCTGACTTCCGGGTGTCAGTGGCCAGAGGGATCGGGGCCCTCCATGGCGCGGCCGCGCCGGGCCCGGCGGGAGGGCGGCGGAGCGGCGCTGCCCCGCTGAGCAGCCGCGGCCCCCCGACATGGAGCCCGAGACGCTGGAGGCGCGCATCAGTGAGTGCGGTCGCGACCGCCCCGCCGCTCCCTCTGGCGCGGCCGGCGGGGGGGCTGTGAGGGAGGGGGCGCCGGGGGTCGCGCGTAGCGGGGTATGGAGAGCGCGGCTCCGGGCAGGTGCGGGGCTCGACGCCGGGGGTGGGTGTGGGCACACCCGGGAGCTGCGGTGAGCCCGGGGCGGGCGGGCGCGCGGGGGTCAGCGGGGAGGAGGGGGCGAGAGTTTGTGCACAGGGCAGCCACGGGAAGGGGCGAGTGCACACCGGCGTATTTCTCCTCCCTCACCGTCCCCCGCCACTGCACCTGGTGGAGCTGGCAGGGAGGGAGTGGGATCGACGTTGCCCCTCGCCTGGGGAGGTTTTTCTTACCGTCCCTTCCTCCCGCCCGCAGACAAAGCAACAAACCCCCTGAACAAGGACCTGGACTGGGATGGTATCAATGCGTTCTGCGAGCAGCTCAATAAGGAGCTGGAGGGGTAAGTGCTTCATCCTTTCCAGGTCACAGGCCTAGTTGTGGTCCCTCGCACAGTAAAATCCAGTGGGATTGTCCCAAGAGCTGAATAGGCACAAAGGCTCTCAAGGTAAGGGTAGGTGGGGGGGGGCCTGGTCCACTAATGGAAGGTACCCCCCAGGTTTTGAGGTGTCTTGGTGCCTTATCAGTGTCTTCAACTTGCGACATGCTTTTCACCCCTGGATTCCCAGAGAAGAAGACAGGGACCAGGGTTTTCATCGATAACCGCCTAGCTTTTTTTTTCCCCTCACTCCTTCCAGTCCTCCACTTGCCACCCGACTTCTTGCCCACAAGATCCAGTCTCCGCAAGAATGGGAAGCTATCCAGGCCCTCACGGTAAGGGCATCTGCAGGCTTGTAGAACTAGATGGAGGGGCAGGGCGTGGAGATGCTCCAGCTTTACTGGAGAAGTATGGGAAGCTTTGAATTCTCTCTAAGAAAGCCCTGGAGCACCTGGGCCCTTGGGTGGGAGAGGGAGCGAAGGTGGTTCCACAAGTCAGGAGAGGTTACTTGGTTACTTCCTAAGATCGTATCCTGTTGATAGGAAGCTTTTTGGGTTTTGTTGTGGTGGTCTTGGCAGTGCTGGGTTAATGGTTGGACTCCATGATCTTGATGATCTTTTTGAACCTAAATGATTCTATGATTCTTAATCGTGTTGCGGATCCACACTGTGAAACCCTGATTTGACTTCTCTAAGGGTATCCCTTTCCATGGGCTGTTGAGCCATCTCTGCAAAAACTGGCTCCAAAGAGGAAAATCTTCTGTTTCTTTGTGGGAGAGTGCTTGACCACCCTGGGATGGGGGGAAGAGGGTTTTCCTCTGCTGCTGTGACAGGAGCCACAGGCCCCACACCTGGTGAAGGAGAAGGAGGAGGGAACTGCCTCCTGATCCTGCTGCTGTCCCCATGCTGGGACTCACCTGTCCCCTCTCCCCAGGTGCTGGAGTCTTGCATGAAGAGCTGTGGCAAACGATTCCATGACGAGGTGGGCAAGTTCCGCTTCCTCAATGAGCTCATCAAGGTGGTGTCACCCAAGGTGGGTCTCAGGGCATCGTGCTAGAGAGGACTCCTGGCGACAGGAGGACTTTGGGAAAAAGTGGTGGCTGAGCAGAAAGGCCAGACAGCCCCTGGAATGTAGGGAAAACAGGACAGTGTTAGTATGAGATCTAGTCCTTGTTCCCTGCTGAGTATCCTGGTTGGAAGGTGAGTTTTCACCCCTCTGTTTCAGGCTGATTGTTGATGTAGGAAGCTGAGGGCCAGCTAGACGTGATGCAGCCAGCACTTGTGAGACAGCTGAGCTCACGTGCAGGCCCGGAGTCACCTTCTCTGCATCGCTGTTGGGCTCTGTGCTGGATGTGCTCAGGAACCTCCCCCAGCTCTGACATCTGACCATGTCTCTCTGGGGTGTCCCAGCCTGATTGAGACACTCAGGGAGGACAAGCCCAGGCCTGGTCAGTGGTGTTCTGGCGAGTCCATCTGAAGGACCAAGTCATTACCTGCTCCTCTGCTGATGCTGCTGTTCCTGCAGCAGAACAAGCTGTGTGTGCTCCCCTATTCAGTCAAGACAGTGAACACCAGCAAGTGTAGGGTTAAGGGAACAAAGACTAAATATGACTAAGGAAAACATTTGTCTGCCAGTCACAGCTTGTGATCTGCAGTGATGAATAACCAGGAACAGTGACAGCAGCATCCTAAAGCCCTCTTGCTTGGCACCCTAGAGCATGTCCTCTGCCTTAAGCCACTAGACTCTGGTGGCACATGCACTGTTTCTACTACCAGAACTCCCAGCAGACCCACAGGGGAAGGGTGAAGGATGATTGCATGGCAGGAGGAGAGCTGTAGCATTTGGATATCTCCCTACTGTGTACTGGTCATCTGGGGCTCACCTTGCTCTAAAGGATGCCAGGCACTGGGCCCTGCCTCGGAGACCATTAACCACAGTCCTTCCTCTCCCAGCCTTGCTGTCCCCTGTTCTCGAGGGCTCCCTTGCTGAGCAGCTTCTGTTGGCAGGACCCTTTTCTTCACAAGGAGGGGACAGAGACCTGCCTGAGCCTTCCCACCTATCTCTGTGTGTTGCTAAGGGGCTGCTGCTACAGCACTTCTCACACCTATTGTTTTCCTGTTGTGGAAACCAGGCACAGCATAGGATGTGTTGCAAGGCCCTCATGAGCTTCCCTACTTGCTTCCTCTTTCCTCCTCCTTGTGCCGTTGGAAATAGTCTCACTTCTCCTGGGGAGTGAGAGGAGAGGAACAGGCCAAGCTTGCAACGGCTCAGATCAGCTTCAAGCCGCCTCTTTTCTGTTCCTCTAGTATCTTGGCAGCCGGACACCAGAAAAAGTGAAGTCAAA